TTTAGTGAGACATGTATTTTTATTTTTATTGAAGTAATATATGTAGTTAAATTTTTTTAATGGAGGAGGTTTATATTAGTTATCTTTGCTTAACAAATTAACCAAATTTAGTAGCTTAAAATAGCATTCTTTATCTTACATAATGTGATTATTTACTTTTTAATTTTTTTAAACATTTATCCATTTTTTGAGAGACAGAGACAGACAGAGTATGAGTGGGGAAGGGGCAGAGAGAGAGGGAGAAACAGAATCTGAAGCAGGCTCTAGCTGTGCTGCCAGCTCAGAGCCCAACATGGGGCTAGAACTCACAAACCATGATATCATGACCTTAGCTGAAGTTGGACGTTCAATTGACTGAGCCACCCAGGCACCCTGTGATTGTTTATTTTATGTGTCAACTTGACTGGATCATGAGATGTCTCTGTATCTAGTAGACATTACTTTAGGGTGTTTCTGAGGGTGTTCCTGGTCAGCATTGGAATCAGTAGACTGAGTAAAGTGAATTGCCTTCCCCAATGTGGGTAGGCATTACTCACTCTATTGAGGATTGAATAGAAGAAAAAGATGGAGGAAGAAGAATTTGCTCTCTCTTCCTGACCGCTTGAGCTGGAGTATCAGTCTTCCCTTGCCCTCTGATGCTCCTAGTTCTATAGAGATTTCTTCCTCCTGGAGGGAGATGTTAATCTGCAGGTTAAAGACTTTTAGCCAGCCCCCACCCCCTGCCTTCTTTACCTGTCCCCATTTCACTGTGTAATTTAATCTTGAAGAAATCAGGTCATTTGTTCTATGTCTGGATTTTACTGAGTGCATCACCATAGTGCAGTTTAACATGTTTCTCTGCCCTCTGTCATGTCTTGCTAGCTGGCAGTTCAATCTACAGGTTTGATCAGGAGCTGGAGGATGGGTGGTTTAAGATACCTTTTCAATGTCCAACTTCAGAGATCACTCTTCCCTTTTCCTCATGTAGCGGTCACCAGAGCTGGCTTACTTTCTGAGGTCTCCTGACTTTCCCCTCTTCAATTCTGGATCTCCTTTCTCCTATTTCTGTCACCTGCAGCATTTGGATTCTATTCCCAGCACTTTCTACTCAGTTGAGGAATGGAGTTAGGGTGAGTTAGCTCTGAGAGTTTATGGGCCCTGATGTGCTCCAGTCCCTTCCGAACTCATCACGTACCCATTGCATGCACCTGCTCTCACACCGTGCATGACTCTTCTTCATTTCAGCTGCTGTCCTCGAAATGGCCCACAGAGCTTTCTGGTGCATCCTTGTCAGCTAGATTGGTGTTCCTAGTCTGTCTGGTGTCCCTGCTTTCTCTTGCTGATACCATGCAGCTCTGTAGCTATTGGTGGTTTGTCTCCACCAATGTTACTTACGTTTTGGGGTGGTGGGGGTACTTTATGGTAGCAGTTGTCTAAAAACTTTTGGGCTGCTACTTTGTCTACTTTTTTAATCAGGGAAATTTAGGGAGGTTAAAAACTCATTCCAGTGATGTTGCCATTTTCCCACTATTTCTTCACGTTTTATTTTTAAGTAAAAAATGTTAAAGTGTTATTAAAATTCCTGAGAGATTATTTTGCTTGATTTGAGTTTTGTTGTACTGCTTTGATTACATAGGATGGATTGTGTTGAAAAGTAGAGGTTAGTGTCAGAGACAATAATTTTGGAAGCTTTCTCTGATGATTTAAAGAAGGAAGTAGATCTGGAAGATGTAATGTGTCATGGCCTGGGCATGAGAGTAAAGGATGTGGTCTCAAAGGATGATGGAAGTTTATATTCCAAAGAGGGTCTGACCCTGACAGATTGCATCAGTCCATAGAGAGGAATCTCTTTTTTCTGATTTTGGGTATAACATGAAGACTCCTGGCTTAGATTTCTGAGGCCAGAAAACTTAATTTGGCCAATTCCACCTGTACTTCTGTTACCCACAAATCTCATCTGTCCCCAAATAATTTCTGGTTAAAATTTAATCACTTTTAAATGATTTGACTCCCCTTGTTCTTCTCAGGGTAGCCACTAAATTCTTTGGGGTGGGGGTGCAGAGGTAGGGGGGTAAGGGGAGATATCTGATTTCAGATGCAAACACCCTAGCCTTTGACCTCAGAAACTGATGTCCACATTTCCATTGCTTTTGGATCACTGATCTATGCACTCAGCTCTGTCCTTAATCTTGACCTTTAGGCCATTCAACCCTTTATAGTTCCCTCAGCCTCTTTGAAGGGCCTTTATTGCCATAGATACTAAAGAACAAGTTTGAGGACTTTTCTCTCACTCTTCATACCCAAATACTTCATGCTAACATGCTACTCTCTGTTGGCTTATTAAAGAAAAACCCCAGGATCCTGTTTGCTTTCCTTATCCCTGTCCTAGCAATAGAACTCAGATCTTTTCTGTCTTCAGATCTTAGAAACATATCTAGGGGTTCTGTTATTTTTTAACTCCATAGTTTCTTTCAGGCTAATCTTGACTGTGAAGAGGAGACACAAGTCCCTTCTTGGAGATACACACCAGTACCTCAAGGATGAGAAAGTTGGCTCTTCTTTGTTTGTGACAGATTGCATTATTGTTTATAATTAAACCACCACCAATCACTGCCCTGTAAGATTATACTCCATGACCATTCACATGTGATTTGCCTATAGAAGTTATAGATTTCTTCTCCACTGTCTTGGGCTTTGACTCTATGAAAGGTTTTGGCCAATAGGATTTGACTGGACATATCATGACACATTGAAGAAGCGGCTTTAAGAGGCCTTATGTATTTCCACCACCTTTCTGGCTCTTCCCATATGCCATGAGAATTGTCAAGTCCCAAATAGGGGCTGCTTCTTCAGCCTGGGACCTGGAGCAAGAAGACTCAGGGTCGATCCACAGCATGTTATTAATACAAACAAGAAACAAACCTTTGTGGCAATTAGCCATTGGGATTTGGAAGTTGTCTGCATTTACAGCAAAACGAATACATCATGGCCTAATGTCCCTTTTTCTTTCAGCTCTTGAGAAGCTAAAACTCATGAAGTACAGCTATTGCAAGCCCAAACCTTTGACTTATATGACTATTGTCACATCATGAGCTTGAAATCTACTAAACAAACATCTAAAATTTGCTTCTTCTTTCTTCCTGAGGCAGGGAAGGAAGTGCCCTGGCTGTATGGGAAGAGTTCGAGACCAGCGGTAGAGGATGTGGAAATGCATGTGTGTGTACAGAGCTGGAGGATGAGACACCTCAGTTAATATTTCAGATTTTTGTCTTGACATACAAAACTGCATGCAAGAAGGAGATATACCACTTGAAAACTCCAAGATACCTATCCTTTCTATTCTTAAGGGATTTATAGGTGAGATTAGTCACTTCTTTAAGTAACTATAATATGAGGCAATAAATATTAAGTGTGTCAGCAAGGTGTGCAGAGAAAGTGCTATGGAGCTCATTGACGAAGAGGCTCTTAAGGATAGGTAGGATTTATAAATGCAGGGATACTCAAGATGTAGATAGAGCTAAATTACGGGAACAGGATGCTAAGTGCCATGGATGGGGCCCATCCACAAGTAAACAAGTAAATGTGAGCGGCTTTATTTTGTTCATTATTCAGGAGACTGGTGGGAGGGTCAGGCCAGAAAGATTAGCAGAAGCCCAGTTGCAGTCCTAGCTAGAGAGTGGACTGTGACACGACTAAGGAGCATGCAGAAAAAGGGCTGGAAAGTAGATTTCAGCAGCATTTATTATTTTAAAAACAACGTGTCCCTGTAAAATTTTGACACATAAAGTATGTGTACATAAACAGTTGGAGGATCAATTCAGAAAAATTCTGTTTTCTATCTAGGCATGATAGATTACTCTCCCCCAATGGCTTGTGTATACTAGCTGTGTGATATGATTGCTAAACGGTCATTGTATTTACGGAGTCATTTCTGGAAAACAGTCAATCTGGTTTGTTGGTGGTGGTATTGGATGGCATGTTTCAGTCAAAGAAGCAGCCTTAATTTCCTTGGTAGTTGCCTACAATGAGGACGTATCTTGCTATACTTAGATCTCCTTGACATTTTAATTAATGCTTAAAAAATAAGCACGAATGTGTGAATATACTTAATGACACTGAACTGTACACTTAAAAATGGTGAAAATAAAAAATTGATGCATGTTTTGCCACCCTGGCCCTGCAAATCTTCTTATGGAATAATTTACCAATTAATAGACGTTTGGAGCTGGAAATTCCTCAGCTCATCTCTCTAAGTCAAGCTAACAGGTGTCAAAGTTGCCTGTGTGATGATGTGACATTTTAGCATTAGATAACTTCTTCCTGGTCTTTTCTACTCTGCAGATAGGGATCCAGAGGTCAGGAGAAAGTCTTCTATATCTCTTGCCCATGGTAGCATAGAAGAGAGGGTGTGTGTGTGTGTGTGTGTGTGTGTGTGTGCGCGCATCGGAGCGCACACGCGCTCTTGTCTGACTGGACACCTCTGAACCGCCAGCCGCGCCGCGCTCTTCTTCCATCCTGGGGAGAGGCGCGGTGTAAAGGTTCTGTCACAGCGCTTCAAAGCATCCTGGACAATCTGGCAGGACCTCAGGCGGCAACCAGCGGACCGAGGGCGCGGCTGGAATGAAAAGGTTTGGATCTCAGCGACATGAGATGAAAGTTGGCGAAAGCTCTGCCCAAAGCTTCTGCTCTGGATCAACTTTCCAGGGTGTTTGTGACGAACAGCTCTTAGGACCTGCCCGCTGGGTGAGGCACCCGCTTTCGGCCCGGTGCTTGTTTCCCATCCCCCCTGCCGGGCTCCTGCGCACGCAGTGCCCGCACCTGCCCAGCGCGCCTCTGCCCAGTCGGGGATGTTGAGACACCAAGAGCGGCCGCCGCGGCCGCCGCCGCCGACCCCGCGGCCGCCGCCGGGCTGCCCCGCCTGGCACATGCGCAGTGGCGACGCCGGGCCGGCGCCTTCAGTCTCCTCCTCCGCCGCCTCCCGGTTCCGCAGTCACTTCCTGCAGCTGTTTCCCAGTGGGTCCGGCTGGACTGAGTTTTGACAGTCAGCCTTCAGCTGCGGAGGGGGCTTGGCGGGGGCCAGCCGAGAAAGTTGCTCCGAGGGAGGCGGAGTTGAGCCGGGCCGAGCCGGGTGCGCGGGGCAGACGGCGGCGGGCGCCCCGGGTGGACGCGGCGCCCAGACTCCTGGCTCTTCCCGAGGGTTCCGGTAAGTGCCGGCGATCGCGAGTCGCGGGGCATTTAGGACGAGCTCCGGAGCGACGGCGAGTAGCGGTTCCTTTCGGGTGCGGGCTTTCCACCTGCCCTCCACGTGACAGGCTTGCGCCGCTGATATTTATCTGTTTGTTTTTGAGCATTTCACGTGTACCTTTTGGGTGATCTAGGCGTGTTGCTGCCGTGGCCCTCGCGCTTGCCCCCGCCCGGTGGGGATTCCATCTTTCGTGATGGCATCCTTACGGGATCGAGGTGCGTGAGTGTGTGCGCGCTCGTGTGTATGCAGGCACACATTAGGAATGTAAGGTATACGTGGGCGATGCTGAAGTGTATGGAGCTTCGATTCAGATGTGTAAATGGTTCCCTTGCATTAGGAACCGTCTTAGCTGAGACTGGAAAACATTCGCCAATTCACCAAGGCCTCTTCTCCCCCAGATCCCTGCATTCTTCTGAATCTTCCTTGTATGATAGACCTTGCCTCAGCTGATTATTTTTCTATTTCTCTCTCTCATCATTGCTTCTCGCTGCGTTCTGATGACCTCTGAGTAATGCTCACCGTTTTCCCCTCATTTCCAGAATTCTCAATTACTGTACAGATTTCCCTAGTTTGCTGAGGTGCCAATAACCTGTTCCTTTACAGTTTTCTGTAGGTTTCTCCATCTGAGAAAGTGATTGTCTTTAATACAGTATGTGAAAAGTAGGCCCCAGTCCGATCATGAAAACTATGCCATGATCATTCCTTTTCTTTAAACAGGCGACACCATGAAGCTTTGACTTTCTTTATTGTCCCCTCAACCCCTTCCAAACCAGGACGTTAGCTACCATAAGTCCTTCATTCATTCCACTTAATACATCAAACTGAACGATTTTTAAGATCTGAGGAATATTTTATTTACATTAGCCATCAAGTTAGTTTCTTCAACTACTGTTGAACGGATCCAAGTCGCGTATGCTTTGGGTTTCTCTATGTTCTACCTACCACTCATGCTTTTACTAAAGACTTGGATTTATTTCTTTTAGATTTAAATTTTATGCTAGGTGTTCCCCCCCCCCCCCAATATGGTAATACTTGATGTAGTTGTCATGCACATATCCTTTTTGGGAGTTGCATTATCATTTTGATTAAGTATTACAAGAAATAATTTTGGAATATCTAGCTATTCATTAAAAATTGTAAAGATAAAATGTGATAACAGGTAAGTCTGTACTTGGCGAGAATTTTTTCCGTAATGCACAGGATTTTATCACCTCTGGGAGGGTCCCCTTGGACCTTTGTGCTCTGAGACTGGCCTTTATTTTGATGGAAACCTGTAGGCAACACTGGGGGGGATGCATGGTGGAATTTCCTCAAGTGGGAGTGAGCTTTCATAAAACAAGTCCAGGCATGTCTAGGCAGTCAGTAGTATTTGATTTTGTTTGTATTGTTGATTTCCTTTATTCAGTGTTTCAACGCTCTCCTCCATTTTCCGTTTTGAACTGGCAGCTTGTTTGTGGCAGTTTGGTCGCGGTATGTGTACAGTTGGAATGTATAGTCTTTTAATTTTGTGAATTATTATAATTAGGTAGTTAACTTTTTGAAAAAGTGGCTTTTGTCTTCTTAGTTTTCCTTTTTAAAATACCCATGCCTGTCTTGCTTGATTTAATTGAGAGGAATAATATGATTATAGAGAATCTGACTTTTTAAAACTTCTGAATCTGTATTGCTTTTCTTTGTGTTCCTAGAGATATGGACAGTATACTTCTGCTTAATAATAAAATAATATTGTTCTTTAAACATTGTGATGAATGAGAAGTATTGTTGAATATTATGACTAATAATTTTTGTACTTTGCCCGTAGCTCTGTTATTTCGCCATTGCACTGATATCCTCTGCTGCCCCCAGACCCTGAATTTGGCATAAAAGTTATTACTTGATTGCACTTTCCATGGGTATACTTACTAATTGTGGTAAAAGAGATGTTTAACTTTTTAAGATTTTGGTTAATTTTAGTAAATCTATTATCATCAGAAAATGTACACATTTCTGTTGCTCCCGGAAAATTTCAGCAGTTTAAAATAGCCAATTTTATTGACCAAGAAAAGAGGTTTTCATAGTGTTGAGAGAGTGGAAGGAATTGTGTGTTTTGGAATAAAGATTTTAATTTGGGTTAATTAGAATTATGGGAACTCTGAGCGTGTACTGTGGTTCATTTTGAGACACTCAGGGTTAGAAAACACCAGCTGGGTGGGAGGCTGGAGAAGTCATGTATAAAATTAAAGAAGTATTGGAACATATTGGAATTTTTCTGAGCGAAATGGAATAGAGATTATCAGTTACTTAATAAAAAGGAGAAAGGAAATTGCTGAAAGACCGATGAGAAACTGTAATTAAATTGGGCCAATGGTAGTGTGATCCATTACCGCATAGGACATTTACTTGATCCATTATTTTATGCAGGTAATTTATGGCTAGAGGAAGAGAAAATATTCTGATTTTTTAGGCGACTCATGAATATAAGGCCACACAAAGTGGAGTCCTAAGCTTAAGGGCCTACAGGGAGCTGGCAGGTAGCACAGATACAGATAGCAGGCTAAGTGGGGAAGGAGGTGGCCTGAGGAAGGCAAGCCTGGCTACTGGGGACAGTGCCTCTCAGCCCTAACTAGCTAATTGTCCATATAGGACCAGGTGCCAAGTGTTGCCAGATCATCCTTTTATCAGGAGAAGCCAGGGATCTCTTGATTTTTCAATGCTGATGAGCAATTGAATTTAAAAAGTGAAAGCAAAACAAAACACTGTATATTCCAAACAGAGGACATCTGAAGCTGCATGTGGCCTACACGCTGTCTACAGCTTCTGCTAAGAACCATTGACTTACCTATTTAACTATTACTGTTTGATGGGAAGGAACTCTTTTATTTATTTTCGTTACACTGTAACTGAGTTACTCCTAGACTTCCTTGATAGGTTAGCTAGTTCTAGGAGTGTTTTAAGGGTTCTGAGACATGATAGTCTTTATTTTGCTTTTTTGACATCATCTGGATGGAAAGACTAGTTTGGATGGAAAGGAGACATTTGCTAAGGTTCTTAGCCTGTGGTGTTTTTGTCTATGCATAATTTTCGTCAAGAGTATTAAGTGTAAGTGTGCCTGAGGGAAGGGGTCTGGACTAGGTGACCTTTGATGTCCATTTCAGCCATGTGACTTTTAGATTTAATTAGCCATGGATGCAATGCTATTAATGTTCATGGGCCAGAGGGACCGCGGTTGGAGCTGTGCCAAGCAAAATAAAGCGAAATCTATAAAGCTGTTTTCAGTGGAAGAGCATAATGTCAGTGTGGATTAACAGACAGGTGAGGTCTGCTAGATGAGGCAAAAGAAATCCCAAAGGTGGTTTGGAGGAGTAGAGGAAGGGGTCAGGTGGTATGGTCATTTACATGTCATATAGCTGAGGTCACATTTTTAAGTGAGCTTTTTTTTTTTTTTTTTTTTTTTTTTTGCTCTTGCTTCAGATTTGAAGACCTGACTTCTCATCGCCCATTGGACTATGCCCAAGGCTTTCCTACCCAATGATCCTCTTGCAACACGCCGGGCTTCCTCTGCCTAAGCGGCCCTCATCCTCTCCTCCTATGTCAGTGGCCACCAGGTCTACAGGAACCTTGCAGCTTCCGCCACAGAAGCCTTTTGGGCAGGAGGCTTCCTTGCCTCTGGCAGGGGAAGAGGAGTTACCTAAGGGAGGAGAGCAAGATTCTGCCCTGGAGGAGCTATGTAAGCCCCTGTATTGCAAACTCTGCAATGTCACCTTGAACTCAGCGCAGCAAGCCCAGGCTCATTATCAGGTAAGGAAAGAAAAGAAAACCGGAAATTTAGTGAGAGAAGGTTTTAGGGCTTTGCCTGTTTCAGAGTCGTCTCCCCAGATATGACCAATTGTGCCTGGAATAATCAAGATGGAATAATCAAGTGAACAACTAGATATTAGTTTGTTTGATTAAAAGCATAATGTTCCTACGTTAAAAGAGAGCATCACTTTTCACAGAATGGGATCTCAACCAAACTGTGCGGCATTTGATAGCTTACTAGCTGTAGGCAAATGCACATCACCTGTGCTTGTGGACCAACCTGTGATCCTCAGGTGAATAGGTATTTGAAACATAATGTACCAAATTCAATTCAGTGTCAAATTGTTTAGAAGAATTAACCTTATTAATATTCTCTTCCAGCTAATAATTTGCATCAGTGCATAGTAATCTCTATGAATCTTCCACTTTTTCTCTTTGACCTCTGACTCTTCTTATATAACCTGTCACTGCTAAGGGAAACATGTATTTTTCTGTTGTTAGAATAAAACATTGAAATATTGAGTCTTAGCCTTCATAGGAAGCATACTGTGATTTCTTTTAGCTCATTAGTGTGAACTGATAATCATTTCTAAGATTTAAAGCTTTCACCTCCCTGTAGAATAACTAGTAGAAAGGACAATTTTAAAGGGTATTATTACTAAGAACAAAGAGAAAGCTAACTTTTGGCTAGAAAGAGAGGGTATGGTATTTCTTTTTATTCTAGATTGCTATCCGTATACAATTATGTAATTTCCTTTTTTGGAGAAAGGCGACCTGAGAAGCAATTGAGGCCAAATGCCACTGAATGAAAGGATGTCTTCTGGGTCAGCATTGATTTGACTGTTTATTCTCTGGACGAGTAGCTGCAATAATAAGACATAAGATAGAAAGATGACTTACACAAGTATTGCTTCCATCGTGCCACTGTAACTGTCTCTAACTTAAGGTTTTTATTTACTCTAGGTATCAATCTTTTTTGTTTTATTTTGATCCTGAAGACTTATTTGATCCTAAAGGCTGATCAATGGCTGTGTCACTTTGTGATTGTATACCAGAAATATTTTGGTGGTGTATTGTTTTCCCATGGATTTGGTGGAAGATAGAATATGTTGCTTCCCTGGAGTTCCCTTTGTTTGGGTTTGTTTTGCCCTCAGGTGCAGAGGGTTGAGTTAATTATATCTCAGATCTTGGCACATGTCCTCATTGGTGCATAAAGGCACTTTCTGGTTTTATTTTTACATATTCTCCCCTTCCCCAACCCCACCCCCAGTCTCTCCATGTACCACTCTCCACCACAGTGTTTGATACAGGGTCTTTCTTTGCCTACTTTACTGTTTGAGGGGAGTCAGTTAGGATGGTGCTTCTCAAACCCAAGACTCAGTGCTAGCTTTCCTCTTTATTTATTCCTGTGGAATGTCCAGTTTTATAGCCTAAGACTCATTTGAAAAATCAAGCTTAAGTTCTAAAGTTTTGATTTTTAAGTCATTAACTTGAGAGAACACCTACGTGTGTGCACCCTTTAAAGTAGAGTTGTTTGCTTTTAGGAGGTAAAACTCTTGGGCAGTGTGTAATTTTAGTGTGTGTGTGTGGATTATATCTTTACCTCCTGCCTTTGTTTTCCTCTTAATATTACTTTATGTCTCTATAGACAGTGATGGGTACTTGTGGTTATGCATAGAGAGAATTCAATTTGAAGAAGATCATTGGATTATAAGGCTTCACCTAGATAAGAAACAGAATCTGCATTTATTTTTTTCCCTTTGATTCTACATGTGTGCTTTGAACTTTTTAGTTGAAAAGATTAGTAATTATACTTAATTTCAGCTCTCTTCATGATAGAAAATATGAGAATAGGGAAGTGAAATTTAGGTAAATGTCTCTATAATCAGACTTCTTAAGTGGAAAAGCTGGAGAAAGACACCCTGTCATAGTAGATAATTTAAGGAGCCAAGAACTAGGGTAAAGATAAAGAAGAAACAAGTGGGTATTAAGAAAGTAGAACCTAATAGAAAATTAAAAGTTTAGTTTTTTTTAACAGTTTGTTTCTAAGAGCTTAGAAGCAAAGATTTGAATGAAATCAATGTTATTGTTAAAGAGGGAGTTTTGTTTTTGTTTTTGTTTTCCCTTTACAGAGAAACAAGGCAAAGCAGTTAGTGTTCTGAGTGTGTGAAAGTATGGAGCAATTTCACTAGGATAGTATAGAAGAAAGTTAATTTTATCTATCTATCTATCTATTTATTTATTTTAAGTTTATGTATTTTGAGAGAGAGAGGGAGAGAGAGAATCCCAAGCAGGCTCTATGCTGTCAGCGCAGAGTCTGATATGGAGCTCAGTCTCATGAACTGTGAGATTGTGATCTGAGCGAAATCAAGAGTCAGACACTCAATGGACTGAGCCACCCAGGCACTCTGAAGAAAGCTAATTTTAGAAGTAAAATTTGGATTTTAACAAGATAGATGTTGAGATGAGAGAGTGTGGATTAAAGAGTAGATCAGAATAATAAACAATTAGAACATGGACATAACTTAGAGGTGGGTGAAACTACCACAGAAGGGAAACAGAAATGTCAGCCTGAAAGATGCATCAAAGGCTAATAGACAGCACATCAGTAAGCAGTGATTCAGAAAGGCTACTGAAGGGGCGCCTGGGTGGCTCAGTCTGTTGAGCATCCAATTTCAGCTCGGGTCATGATCTCACGGTTCGGGTCAGTTGGTGAGTTCTAGCCCCGCATCGCTATCTCTGCCATCAGCACAGAGCCTCTGTCCCCCTCTCCTTCTGCTCCTCCCCTGCTCACACTGTCTCTGTCTTTCAAACATAAACATTAAAAAAATTTTAAAAAAGAGCTACTGGAGACCAGGTTAAGACCAGTGAGTAAGGCTTATCAGGAGCCAGGGATAGGTACAACGATTGTAAGTAGACTCATAAAACAAAGTGGTTGATGAGGTGATGGAAAGTTTATTTCTGAAAACCTACTTTATAATTTTTAATACAGAGTGATACCAAGACCACAAATTCACTTATATGTGAGATAAAAGGGGTCAGTGGTAGCCTGTTTATAAGCTAGAAAGACATTTGTGTGAAGCGATAAATCACGGTGATTACTTTACTCAAAGTGTTTTAGTCAGTTGGTGCCATTGTTGAAATCGCAAAGTTTCAAATTGCCCAGGGTATTATAAACAACCTTCAGTGTGGTGTGGGCAGTGTCACGCTCGAGTCTAACTGTATCATGTTCCAGAAATCCAGGACACACAATGGAAGCTGCTCGATAAATACTTCCCTTTAAACTCAAGACTTTCTTTCCCTGACATCCTGATGTTTCTAAGTTGGGGCTGCTTTAGCAATGACCCATGTGTGTCTGTGGTCACCACAGATTTAGTTTTATTCCCAGGGCTTTTTAACCCAGTCTGTCTGCTTCACAATATCCTGAGTTGTTTTATTTTTAATGAGATTACCTATTTGTACAGTCCCGAAATTATAGCTTCAGTTATATCTTAATTTAAAATAAAACCTTTGGAGGAAAAAACACATCTTCATTTTATTAAAATCTGCCTGTAGGCTTCAGGTCACTTAGGGCAAGCCTGGCATGGCGTAACACAATACTGTTTTAGCAGCAGACATGCCCAGAGGAGGAACTACTTTGGATAGAAGGTCATTAACAGAAATAAAACAAGCTAAAACCAAAAATGGATAAATTTTGCTAGGGCATCCACATTTTAAAATAAAATCAACCAGTATATTTGCTGATTTGCATGTCCATTTGGAAAATAACTGTTCAGTTACTCAAAGTACGTTTCTAAAGTTTGTCATAAACATAGATTTCTATTTGTAATATTTACTAGCCAAGTAACAATGTACTTATTAATTAGATTAATTTGAAAGGGAGACAATGCAGGTAAAAAAAAGTAGTTCTATAATTGTGATGCTGATTGTAGTATCTTGATTGATAATGCAGAGAATGCAACTCATGTTATCCAAAAGTGTAGAGTACTGTTTGGCATTTATATTTTAACATTGGTTACCAGTTTGGATGACATGATCAGTGACTATAATCTCAGCTAATTTTTATGTTTTTCAAAATTCTCCATCTGGTTGTTTTCCATATGAACTTGCAGTGGACTGAGATTAGTCAAAATGCATTTACTAGAGGATAGAAGTTCTCCATGATCCAGCTGGTGGCTGTGCCTCACCAGCTTTCTGCCTCCCCATCCTAGAACACCCCCCCCCCCCCCCCCCGCCACCCAAACCTCATTTCTTCTTGTTTCAGAAGAGTACATAATCCTTCTTCTGTACAAGGCTGATTCCTTGCCCTAACTGGATTTCATCACCTGTCATCACTTCTTTTCTTCTATCAAATTAAAAACCTCCTCAGGTTTTTCTATGTAAATAAAAATAGCAACAGCAACCTTCCCTGTGCTTTTAATACCTTTTTTTGGGCAACTTTTCTCCTCTCTCCTAAGAGTTCTTACAGGTATAATCGTCCTCTCCTGGTCTTCATTTTCTATTCATTCCCCAGCCCACCACTGCATTCTGGTTTCCATTCCAATATGCTACTGAAACGGTCCTTTCCAAGGTCACCTGTGATCGTACAGGTCAAATCTGGCTCTTTCTCACTTGATCTTTTGTAGCATTTGCCACTAGTAACAGGTTCCACAAAACATTTAAAGAAATTTTGACACAAAATAATGCATATAGAACAAAGGGCATAAAATGAAAAGCAGTAATTACCTTCCTTTTCTTCTCCAATCTCTCTTCCAACCTCTCATCTTGGGTTGGCAATAGTTTTGCTTTGACACTGTTAAGGTTGATCACATTTTTGCTTATTCAATAATCAAATTAAATTTTCTGCACTCTGTGAGGTTGATGCCAATTGTTGAAGATTGACATTCAGCTTTTGCATTACTTTGAGTAGGGAAATATTGTCCACAGCAGAGCTATTTTCTTCTCTGTTTCCAATGTCATGATCCCATGCTACTCAAAAGAGAAGTTTAAATGGATGACCC